TGAACCCCCCCCCCCCTCTCGCCCCAGCTGCCCATGGCTCTAGTGCCATCGCCAAGTACAAGGCCTGGCCTCCTGGTGCTGTGGTTCCTGGGGCCAGTTTCAGAGAACCGTAGATAAGGAAGGAAACCACACTGACTGTGGCCAAGCACTCCCCTTCCAACCAGGAGGCCGGGAAGCATCTACCGAACCTTCTTGTGTCAAAGCCTGGCTAGACAGGGCCATCATTTAGTCCGCAGCAGCCTCATCACACCAATAATTTCTAAAAACTAACTGATTATTTGGGGCTCATTAGCATAATTTGATGTATCCTCTGTGCGTTGACTTTTCACTGGGTAGGCAGTTTCCTAACACACACTTGGCATGTGGGGAAACTAAAAAGGATGCAATTGTCTTGTCTCAGGGATTCCTTTATACAATCTTTCCTGTTGTGATGCACTTCCAGTGGTGCCCCCTCCTCCCCGTGAGACACCTTGACCTTGGCTTTACTGGTCACCCCAGTCTCCACACTCTCCCACTCTCTGACTACCAAGTCTCCCCTTCTAGATCCTTCCCTTGAGCCCCAACAAGTATTTTCCCCAGTGCCCATCTACCCAAGGCTTCCTAGCTCCTGATAAAATAGCATGCACTTGCACACAGGCTGAGAGAGAGAGATGGGGGGGGGGTTCAGCATCTAGCTTGCCCCTGGGCTGAGTACCTTCAGGAGCTCAGCTACATCCACACACACACACACACACACACACACACACACACACACAACCCACACACACACACACACACACACACACACACACACACACATGCTGAACTCATCTCAAAAAAATCCATTCCTGGTCAAAGCAGTTCCGCTAACTGTATCTCACCTGCACCCTGAATGGTGCCAGAGATCAAAGAACCTCAAAAGCAACCTTCAAGCCAGTGCCTGTAGGCCAGGTCACACACATACATAGCAGCCTGATCCATCCCTCTCCCCGCTCCTAGGGAAAAGAGTCCTTCCCCAAATCTCCAAGCCTTTCCCCTCCTCCTCTCCAGTGGATCCTGCTTTCTATGGCATCAGGAAATTAGTAGCAACCAAAAGAGGTGTATTCCAGGTTGCTGTATTCAGTACTGCCCTCCATCCAGTGTGGCATCACTCCCGACACACACATATGCCTTACTTTTGTGTCCTAGGCCTTGCCCCATCCCAGTCTTCTTTCATCTCTTTCCTCTCTCCTGGAGCATTCTCCAGTACGCTATGCAAGCCTTAACACACACACACACACACACACACACACACACACACACGAGAGAGAGAGAGAGAGAGAGAGAGAGAGAGAGAGAGAGAGAGAGCGCAGTCAGCCAGGGACAAGCGCTGTAACATGATGCAGGAAGAGAGAGAGAGAGAGAGAGAGAGAGAGAGAGAGAGAGAGAGCAGTCAGCCAGGGACAAGCGCTGTAACATGATGCAGAAGGAAGAGAAGGAAGTTAGAAAGGTTCAACGAGGACTCAGGAAACAAGACAAGCAAGTGCAAAGGTCCTGGGGTAGGAAGGAACACAGCAGGTGAAAAGACAGAGATGTACCAAGAGGGAGAGGTAGGTGGGAGGCGAGGCCAGAGATAGGGCAGGCCCTGGCACGTTAAAGACACACAGTTTTCCTTGTGAGTCTTGGATGGTACACAAATTGCAAAGGCATGATGCCATTCGCATTTTCAAAGTTTGGGAAGGGGAAGGCACAAAGTGTAGAAGTGGGTGACTACAGTGTCATACAACCTGGCGGTCTGAGTCTGTCGAGATGGGGTAAAGGGTATGGAGGCATCGACACAAGCCGTGAGGAGAGGTTTCCTCCTGGAAAGGGGGAGCCATGGAGAGGCTCTCACTGCTCTCACTGCTGCTTGCAGAGGCTCAGGCTTGAAGGAGGGAGGGGAGTACAAGACCAAGCTCACAGCTGTCTAGAACACCCCCTGGAGCATGGCTGGGTGGTGGGCCGTCCAGACATGGGCCTTGAAGGAAAGAACAGGCTGCTCACATCTCACAGCCTCCTCTCTCACCTTTGGACACTTCTTCCATGCCTGGCACTGTGCTAGGAGCCACCAGGTCAAGCAGGGATGGGGCACAGGAAGGAGCATCCGGCCTGAAGCAGGTGTGGATGAGGCCCAGGGGGAAGTTCAGAGCCCTTGGATGGGATACCAGGGGGTGCCACCTCAAGCCCTGGGCTCCAGTCTCAACCCTGCCCCCATGTTGTTGGGGCCTTGGCCTCAGGGGCCTGAGGCTCCTATGCATAGTCCTCATACAGTTGTCTGTCACAGAGCTGTACTGATGAAATATTTGTCAGATCACATGGAAAGACTTTGAAAGTGCTTCAGAAGGACTGGGGTGTGTGTAACTGAATAGGAGAGAGCAGCTAAGCAGCTGCTGCAAGGGTCTTCCTGGTAGAGAAGGGGGACTGCTGAGAATAAGGTGGCATAGGCCTCTTGTTAGTACCTTCAAATGCAGGAGGGTGGAGAGGAGACAACACACCAAGGCTGAAGAAAGAAAGACCAAAATCCCTGGAAGATTATGGATTCATTTTGACCCTATAAATCTAGGTTAAGTAGCAAGAAGACCCAGTGTGCACTACATGTATGTGCAAATGTATGTGTGCGTGCGTGCACATGTGTGTGAGTGTACATGCATGTCTTTGCTTGTGTGTACACATGTCTGTGGGTACATGTGTGTGCATATGCATGTGTGTATGTGTGCATACGTGTGTGCATGTGTCTGTGTGTGCTTGTGTCTGTGTGTGCATGTGTCTGTGTGTGTCTCTGTATATATGTGTATGAATGTGCACATGTACGCATGGGTGTGTGTGCATGTATTCATGTATGTGTGCATATGTGTGCATGTGTGTATACATGTGTGTAATCTCCAGACTCTGAAAGCAAACAATTTGCTAAGTTGTGCGTGGTAGCTCATGTTTGGTGTCTCAGCATTAGAAAGATAGAGACAGGAGGATTGCCATGAACTAAAAGTCAACCTGAACTAAATAGTGATTTCCAAGCCAGCCTGAGCTGTAATGTAAATAAATGACAGAAAATAAATTTTAAAGTTTCAAATTGCTGAGTTACTGGAGACTGTATTTATTGGGAGATTCTAGCAATTGTCACAGAAAGGCAGTGGCTGGTGCTAGTTTCAGTTCATTGCTCCCACATCAGTCACCAACCTAAATACTCCACCAACTATTCAGGACACGTGTGTGCTCAGAAACTGAGTCAAGTGAAGAAAGATGAGCTGGACCAGGTAGGCTGAGTCTGGGCCATCCTTCCTGCAGGAACTGGTACCAGCCTTGTCTCCACTGCTGCTGGGGACACAGTGCTGGGAAATGCACAAACTAGACCAGAGGCAAAGCTGACACTCTGGTGATGGCAAACTGAATCCCACCTGTCCGTCTGTCTGGAGGCCCCTCCCTCCCATGACTCCCTCTCTCTCTCTGGGTGAACACTCTGACAGTCTACTGGGACCCAGTGCTGGCACTTGCCCGGGACCAGTTCTCCCCAAGCAAAAGTCTGGAGACAAAGGCCAAGTCCGAGTCCTTGTTGCACTCTGTTCCAGCCAGATGTTTCAGTACTGAGGCGCTTGAGCTTCAGCTTTTCCCTGTCTGTGAAATGGAGTGACAACACCCCTCACATGGGCCTCTCGTCGCTGTAGTTCACAAACTAAAAACTAGCATGGTGGCTCAGGCCTGTGGCCCAGCACCAGCCAGGAGGATCATGATGACTGTGAAGCCAGTCTAACTTACACAGAGAAACCTGGAGTCCAAAAAGGAACGTGGTAGAGGGCCAGTGCAGGTGGAAGTTTCCTGTCCCTCCTGACAGTTCCCTCAGCTGCTTATGAAATAACACTCTGAGACTTAATATCAATTACAGTTGCTGGGCCAATGGCTCAGACATATTACTGGCTAGCTCTGTCTTATAAATTAACCAATTTGTATTACTCTGTGTATTGCCATGAGGCTGTGGCTTACTGGTGATACTCCAGCATGTTACTTCTTCGGTGGCTACATGGCATCTCCCTGACTCCACCTTCTTTCTCTCTGTAACTCTGTTTGGATTTCCCACCTAGCTATATTTTGCCTGGCCATTGGTCAAAACAGCTTTATTCATCAACCAATGAAAACAACACATATTTGCTGCATACAGATGGACATCCCATATCAGGCCAGCGCCCCCCCCCCAAATCAGAACTGCTGGGGCTATGGAGCTGGGAAGGGGAATATCCTGCCAGTGCAGATGGGATCCGTCTTCTAAGGACTAGTCTGTTGTTGCATCAGTCTGTGGTGGGCCTTCTTGGGAAAGAATCTGCAACTTGCAAAGAACTGGGTGACTCTCTGCCAAGCGGCAGCACCCCCATCATCCTGCTGGGCTGCTGAGCCCATCTCCCACCCTTCTCAGCACAGTCCTCTACCCAGAATCAAGCCCAGGCTCTAGCTGATCCTCAGAAGGCAGTGAGGACAAGGGACAGAAAGAGGAGACAGAAGGCAGGTTTTGATGTTTGACCCTCAGCTCTGTGCTCAGGCCCACAGAGTGTGCATGGATTGACCAGGCAAATGTGCCAGCAAGTGACCCTTGGGAGATCATGGTGTCCAGAAAGGGCAAGTGGGTCCTGAGCCATGCAAACCATGCACTCACTGGCTTCTTCTGCATTATCTTGCAGGGAACTTCAAAGGTCTGTGCAAGCAAATTGATCATTTTCCAGAAGATGCAGACTATGAAGCGGACACCGCAGAGTACTTCCTCCGTGAGTACCATCATGTTTTAATCCCCCTAGCCCGAGGGTCCCTCAAATTGTTCCTTCTGAGACTCAAAGGTCAGGTGTATTCAGAACCCTGATTACAGCAGAGGGTAGGAAACTGCTGCTCCCTGTTGACAGGCCAACTTATCCCCCAGACCCTGAAGCCTCACCTCCTCCAGAAAGCCACCCTGTTTATCATGCTGAGAGGAGAGATGGGGTCCTTGTCTGCTGGGTAACATTCCCCAGTTCTGCAGAGAAGGAACAGCCTCTTCCAACACTGGGCAAGGCACAAAACAGGAATCCAGGAAACATTTTTCAAATAATTGCAAAACCGGCAGGCAGTGACAGTGCACTTGTACTAGAGAGACAAAGGGAGAGAATTTTTCCTTCTCCTCACAAGTCAAATTAAAGTTAAACTGTGGTGTAACCGCTGTGATCTTAAATCCCCCTGAGACATATTATCAAGAGAAAGCATTTTTGAAGCCCCAAGGAAATTTCTCAAGCATCCCCAGAAACCAACACAGACCTTGTTAGTTATCAAAAGGGATTTCCCAGAGAGGAGCTGAGGGTCCTTGAGGTCTGGGACAGCCACACTGAAGGCTCTCGGGTTGCTCAATGAAGGGTTTGCTCAGAGTCCTGGCAGTAGCCAGCAACTGCCTCTGCTCTTCCCCTCCCTGACAGCATCCCAGTTATCATCACCCGGACTCTGTTGATGAAAAAAGAGGTATAGGAGGCACTTTATTATATGAACTGCCCTGTCTCTTTCAGTAATCACTGCTCACACCAGAGGCAACAGCTTGCGGGTCAGCCTGAGATTTAGTTTCCCTGAAAAGCCTTTGGAAAGTGGCACTGGTGAGGCAGCCAGAAAGGGACAGGAGGGGAGCAGGACACAACTTATAGATTATTTATTATTTACTTAATAGTTTTTCAAGACATGGTTTCTCTGTGTAGCCCTGTAGACCAGGTTGGCCTTGAACTCACAGATCTGTCTTGCCTCTGCCTCCTGAGTGCTGGGATGGAAGTTGTATGCCACCATGACCTGGGTAGTTTTTGAGGGGGTCGGGTGAGGGAAGAAAATACCATGACTGTCATCATTTCCTTTTCTGAATTCTCTCGTGATTTGGCTCCTAAGTAGAATTCCCACAGGGCTGTCTGGTTGTCATTATCTATTACTGTATCTGGAGTCAGACAATGCAATAAACATAGGTTGGGTGCCTACTATATGCTGAAGCCTGTACTGAGCAGTGGGGAGGCTTGGATAGACAGGTGAGACAGTCCCTGGTGCCGGAAAGAGCAGGCTTAAGGGGGAAGGCCCTTGGAGACAGCTGGTCTCAGGATAGCCTGATAGAAACAAGACCAGGATACAGTAGTAGGAGGGTGAAGCTGAGCCCCACACACCTGGGCCCCGGGTCTCACCTGAACAAGCATAGTGAGGGTAGAATATTTCATCAGCCAGGCAGGAAGCATCTTGAGGCAGCTTGTCTCATTCAGTATTACACCCAGAATACAATAGTTGCTCAATAAATCCCTCTCATGAAATACAGGATCCCTCAGGGGCATCCTCTGCAGTGCTATGTCTCAGTTTCCTTGGGGTGAAAGAGAGAAGTGTCTTGGAGTATTGGCTCATGTTGTCCCCACACTGGGATTTGTGCCAGCAACATGGGTCACAAGGTCTGACTTAAAGTTCACTGAGCAATGCAGGGGTTCTAGGGTGTGTATAACAAATGAGCAAACATTTTCTGCAAAGGATGAGATAGGAAATGTTCTCAGCTGTTCGAGCCACAGTGGCTCCATCCTAACCACAGACACTGGAAGCTTTTGAGTAAATGTGCCCTCCACTTTTTTTGTTTTTTTTTTTTTGTTGTTGTTGTTGTTTTCTAGACACGGCTTCTCTGTGTAATCCTGGATGTCCTAGAACTCACTCTGTAGACCAGGCTGGCCTCAAACACAGAGATCTGCCTCCCAGTACTGGTATTAAAGGCGTGCACTACCACCACCACCCCCGCCCCTTTTCTAAAAGGCAGGGTCTCACATAGCCTAGGCTGACTTTAAACTTACCATAGAGAGCCAAGGATGACCTTAAACTTCCGATTTCCTTCCTTCCTTCCGCCTCCCCAGTGCTGGGATTACAGGCATGAGCCTGATTTTTATTAGCTGTCACTTGTTAAGGAAAAAATGACACAGGATTCGTAGTGGCACTTCCCATCAAAGTCCATTCACAAAACAGGCAGCAGCCTGCCAAGGGTGGTGTGGGTGTGGTGGTCGGGCTAGACAGCTTGGAAAGGTCAAAGCCACTGCTTCTGTCATTCTATGAAGCCAGGGGAGTTGGGAGGCAGGGATGATTTCTCTAGAAGGGTCTTTGCCTTCATACATCTTTTCTGATTCTAAAGCCTCTCTTAGGCCCCTCTCACCCCCGGTCTGTATCCCCATCTCAGGCCTTATCGCCCCACACTACAATTTTGCGAATCGCACCCAGCATCCTGGTGAGACAGATGTTTTTTTCTCAGTCTCTGCTCCATGCATGTCTTCACCCCCTTCTAGCACAGTGCCTGACAGCGAGATGGGGTCTGGTGACATGCTTCTCTGACAGACCAAGGAAATGACTGGATGGACAAATGGATGTGGAGTAATTCATGGTGAAATAGCACCAAGAACAAAGCAAGCATCAGGCCTTCCAGAAGAATAGCTGAGGGCCAGCTAAGTGGGTGGGGCTCACCTGGAAATACGTGGAGCCTGAGTCAGCCCCAGCACAGGTTAGCTCACTTGGCCACCCCCTTCTAGCACAGTGCCTGACAGCGAGATGGGGTCTGGTGACATGCTTCTCTGACAGACCAAGGAAATGACTGGATGGACAAATGGATGTGGAGTAATTCATGGTGAAATAGCACCAAGAACAAAGCAAGCATCAGGCCTTCCAGAAGAATTGCTGAGGGCCAGCTAAGTGGGTGGGGCTCACCTGGAAATACATGGAGCCTGAGTCAGCCCCAGCACAGGTTAGCTCACTTGGTTAAGCCTCTCACTTGAGAGGCTGGGGGA